TCGCACACACAGTGACACACTCACACGCACACGCACACGCACACGCATACGCACACGCACACGCGCACACACAAGGACACACAAACACGCGCGCGCGCACACGCACGCACGCACACGCACATGCACACGCACACGCACACGCACACGCAGTGACACACTCGGACGCACACGCACACACAAACACGCACGCACACGCACACGCACGCACACGCCATGAGAACTACATAACTTTGAATTAATGGGCCTGTAAATATGTTTTGTTCACAAGGCAATAAGTAGCCTATTTATATATTTTATTCATATGTAAATGAGTCAAGCATTCGTCATAGTTTTTATTAAAATTATATTATTGTGGTTCTATTTAATTGTTGAAAATCTGTCCAACGTGTCACCTTTATAAAAAATATAAAAAATCTTTCTGAGGGATATGATTTGTTGGTACAATTGTATGTGTTACAATTGCCCCATTGGTGTGTTACAATTGCCTTAACTTGTTTTACTTAACCCAAACCTAGTCATATTTCAAGCCAAGATATGCATCTTTAATTTCATATACCTTGAAGTAAGTATTTAACTATAATAAAGTTGTTATGTCAGATTTGGAAAAAAGTGTTACAATTGTCCCCGGTCTCCGCTACCCTGGTGGACATAGACCCTATGAGCATTATTTATAGTTACTGCCAAATTAAAAATGTTTGTGCATCCGCTTATTGGCAACTAATGTCACGCAAATGCCGTTCAAATACATCTTTACAACACGTTTTTTCTCAGTCATTCCATATTGGATTTGGAATTCTGTTCATTCTCGTTAAATTGAAGCTTTTTCTACTGCAATTCGCACAGGCATTTTGAACGTTTCAATAATAAAATTATGGTAAATAAAACACGAAATCAAGTAGGCCAAGTTCAAGTTCAAGTTCAAGTAAAATTTATTTTTATCGGTATATAATAAACATAATGAACATAAGCTAATATAGCTTTTGCATCGATATCAAACAAGAGTAAATAGATATGGGTAGTGATTAAAACATAATAAAATTTAACTGCGTAACTGCAGTGTTACTATCACATAATTGGCCGAATTGCCTTTAAAAACAATATATCAATACCGGTATATCACATGTCAATTAGCGACACATTGAGCATCTGCACCTGTACCCACCCCACGTTTCGAATAGCCTAGCTTCTAAACACGTTGAAGTTCTCACTCCGACGTATTACATTTCGGCTCAATTTTTTATGAGGCCGACCAAAGTTTTAATGTTTTCTCTACACTCGCCTTTTATTAGTAATAACTTTCTGTAAATTCCGTTCAAAAGCTCCTCTGCAATACACAAGTAGGTACACCACACGAATGCCACTGCACACAAAAACAATCTTATGTGCACAAACACCATTATTGTATGCAAACACAAAACATTCACATTATTTATTTACAATTATATAACAAAATAATGTGGCGTTTTTGAGCACCCTCATTCAATCATGAGCAGTTGTAGTTGTCATACAGTCAAACCTGTATGTCGAGCCACGCAAGAATAATGCCATTTCATAAGCAGGTGGCCGTTCATTGTTTAGAGATTGATGATCACCTGTAAACTACCTGTGTGACCTGTAACCCACTAGTGTCACCTGTATTACATTTTGTCTACATGACGTCTGATACTCTCCTTTATTCGCAAACATTCACTCGGGACTATAACCCACGTACAATACATTGTTCTCTGAACACACATTACCACTTGCACACAAAACCGCAGCGCGTCAAAGACAAGATGGTGGGTAATAATGGAATAGAAGCATAAGAGAGATAATCTAACCTATCATTTATTCTATTCTATGTCGAATATTCTACGCAAACAGGAAGCCACCAGGATCTTTTTGATTTGGAGACTAGCGCGTGTGTGTAACTTGTTTTTCTGGGATCATGCGTCGTGATTTGGAGGTGTGGACGTTCGTCTGCTGTCTGGTTTGTTCGTGCACCTGATGCATGTCGTCTGCCGTCTACGAGTTCTTCTGTGGAATCTTGATGACAACCTGCAAGTAATCGACAAGAAGGAATGGCATCAAGAGAGGTGTAGTGAATGGTGATCCTTCGGCAAACCGTTAGTGGATCGCAGACATAAGTTTCATGGACATTTGTTACGAATGCAGAAATTGCATGGTTTAATTTAATAACATCTCACTAGGTTTCGAGGAATCGATAGAAATACAGTAGGAGATGATAAGGATAAAATTCCGTCATTATCTT